CGAACTCATACTGTAATATTAGGTTGTTTCTCCACCATTAGCACAGCTGCAACTTGTACATAAGCATGACTGGGAGCGCTAAGACCCTCCCCATGGCTCTGATTGGTTGTTTCTGCCAGGGAGCATTTACAGGCGGCTGTAGGACCTCAAGAAGGAGCTGGATTTTTTTTTACAAGTTATTTGTGTCAGGACATAGTTACAAGTTTAACATCTAAAAAACACATCTTTAGAAAAGTTACCTACTGCAGCTTTAACTTGGTTCTGTTTTAAAGTTCCAGTGTTTTTGTATAATGTAGTTTCACCACCAAACCAATAGGTGGCAGTACCTACACAGAATCATCAAACAATCATGTAAAAAAGAAAAAAAGTCTGCATCAAGTCATGCCGGGGTGATGAAGCATTAACTTCTTAACTTATTTATCTAATTTCTTAATTTTGTTGAATTTTTTCTCTTTTTTTCCCTAATGTCTTCATCTTGGATTTTTACTCCCATTATTTTTCCAATTTCCTAATTTTGTTTTATTTTGTTTTAATTTCTTGTGGTTTTTTTCTAACATCTTTGACTTGGATTTTTAATTACCAGTTTTATTAATGTTTTGGTACATTTTTGTCAATGTGATTATGTCATTTCCTGTTTGAATACAAACATACTTCCGTTATGCTTAAGAGAGTTACGAGGACAGGAGTTTGAAAGAAAACGAACATAGACCATGATGAAGACCAAGTTTGGTCTTAACTCTTCCTTCAGTCTTGTTTTTGTTCCCACTGCCCTGTAAAATATATTTTTTAAATCACTGTAGTTTTTCCTTTGATTGTTGTTGGAACCAGCTTTAGTTGCATTTTATTTACTTCAAGAAAGTTGAGTCCATACCTCAATAAACATCTTATGTATTCATTTATTTTGGGTTTTCTCACAGTAAGCTGAAAATATTATCATCTCATACTCTTCAGCAGACAAAAGCAAGATACTCTGAGAATGATTTTTCCTGCAGGTTTATTAGAGAAAGTTGTAAAAGCGTTGAAGATGCTGGTCTCAATCTCTTGACTCCACACCAGCAGGGTTGGTGTGTTGCGTATCGATTGAGGTCAGAGAAAATGCTCCCAGCTGAATATCCTGTGTGTATGTGGAATATTTGGTGGAGGGATGCAGCAGCAGCAGCAGCAGCAGTGGGGATGTGGGTGCACCGCACACCTCACAGTCGTATGAGATTATCCAAATCCAGCGTGAATGGACCTGACACCATTGTCCCGAGCAGAAGCAGCAGCTTCAGCGGCGGCGGCGGCGGTGATGTCACAGGGCGAAAAAAGATGATGATACCTCCAAGAGCGATAGATTACAGCTGTGATGAAGAGGCGGAGGGTCACTATTATTTCATTTATTATCATTACGTGGCGGTCCGTGCTGACAGGACGGAGGGGTGGGGATGGGATGGGGGGAGTACTACGGAGAGAGAGAGGGAGAGAGAGAGGGCCGGATTAAAAACAAACCCGCTCTGTGAGCTGGTTTTAGTTGCCATGGTAACGATCATTACCTCGCACTTGGGAGAGCAGGAGCAAGAAGGGAGGAGAGAACAGGAGGAGAGGGTTGCTGGTGGAGGGGAAGGAAAGAAAGAAAAAAACGACCGGGATGGGAGCTGCTACGGGATGAAGGCTGGGGAGGTTAGCATGTTTGATGGGACAAGTTTTCACAATCACAACTTCCAACTTGGATCCATAAAATGTCAGTTTTCATCTGAGGCTTCGAGGGAAAAGAAGCACTTTATGAAGCTTAGCACCTGCTGGGACAGCCGCCCTATGCTTGAAGAAATCAACATGCGAGAGGGAAAAGTGTTTATGTGCTTCTTCCTGGGGTCAACTTACATAAAAAATATTATCAGAAAAAAAAAATCACACTACAGATAAAGCATTAAAGGTGACCAATTATGTTTCCTTGTACATGTTATAATAGGTCTATGGGCGATACAAAAGATGAGCAAAGTGATTCTAAGATAATGAGACCTTTCAGATTTGAGCTCCTTTCAGAATAAGCTGTTTTAGGGTCTCTTGTCGCTTCAAATCCAAATAATCTGCTGCTGGCCACGACTCCCAAACTCAACATTTACACTCACACATGAAAATGGCTGCAAACAGATACGCAATTATACAACTGTACATCTTTGAAAAGCATAAGTGGAGCCTCCTGCGCAACCAACAAGAATGCAACAAGTGGTTTTTGAATGGACGCTGGGAAAACATTTGTCTTTCCCAGCGTCCATTGTAAAGCACATACAGCAGTAAAACCAGCTGACCAAAGGTGCTGGAGCTCCGCCTTGGTTGCTAAGTAACTGGTTGGGTTCTGCTGGGGATGCTAGGTAACGGCACAGTGGAGGTTTCTGAAACTGCTGCTTTTCCAGACATCAAAAAACATTAATGCCAAAAATCAGCTGGGTGGTTTGTAGAAGCTTTTAGCCCTATTTTTAGAAGCTGTTGAAATCCAAATGGAAGTACAAAAATGAGCAAAATGTGAATTCAAATAACACAATTAATGTTCCAGAAGTTATAAAGACAGAGACAGACTTTAGTTTAAGATGGGAAAATATATTAGATTTCCCGGAAATAAAAAAGTATACCTTCATTTGACTCTCATGTAAAGCACATACATTCATAAATACACAAATATTAACTCCTTCAAATCCCATGTCCACTGGATTGGACATGATGTATATTTCTGAGTTTAAACCAATAAATTTCAACGCTTCTTGTTACCGATTATTTTTTTATAACCAAAAACACTGAAGTCTGAATCTTAATATAAGTGAACTTCAGCACAAGCATTGACTGAAACTATAGAGGTTGAGAAGGAAGTGTTTACTTTCCATTAAAAACACAAGTATCAGTGCATTATAGCCTAATAAAATTGCTCTCGGTGTAATTTTAAGTATTTCCAGTGATAGAATTTGAAGTTATTATTTATCATTAAATTGCAGGATTTTTTTCAAAGTTGAATGTCCAACCCAGTGGACATCAGGAGTTGGGATATACTAGCCAACGCTGAATTACTTAGTGTTACCATGCAACGAAAAAAATAAATAAATCTGAAAGCAGCTTATTTGTAATTTCACAGTTCATTTAGTTATTTCTATATTTTCATTTGCATAAACTCAAACTTTCTTGGACAAGCTTTATTTCACTGAAGGTGGTCAAAATTTGTTGATTAAAAATAATATTTTTTCTCTGTAGATAAAAATCAGGTCTGAATGGGTTAGAAAAGGTTAAAATTATTTTCATAGTATATTGTCAGTTGTTTCTGAAAACTGTAAGCAGTACTTAGTTTAATGCTTGTGGTAGTGAGTTCCAGTCATCCATTGCTCTAAACATTGCTAGTTTAAGCTAGTTTTACATCTTAGCAGAGTGAAAGTCCAACGACGGCCGCGATGGGACCGAAGAGTTGTTTCAGAGGAAAACATGCGGGATCGGAGGCGCTGAGAGCCCCATGTGGTGCTGCGGATGGAGCCTGTTGTCCTGGCGGTGTGTCACATGACCTTCTGCCCGGCACACCTGCCCGGGAGAAATCAGTGGCAGTTTCTATGGCGACAGGGTCAGCAGTACGGGAGGCAGGATGGCTGCCAGAGGTGGTGGTAGGAGGGACTGCTGGTCTCGAGCGGTGTCAGTGGTGTTATTTTTAAACATGGCAGAGATGAGGGGTTGCTAGCAGACCCAGCCAAAGATGAGACTCCTCCAGAGGATGGAAAGAAGAAGAAACAAAAATAAAAATCTAAACTCGGCCGGAAGATGGACACTTTATTCTGTCTGCGTCAGCATGACCTATGACTCACGTGCTTTAAGGTCACGTTCACACAGATATTGATGCTCAATTCTGACTTTTTGCTTGAATTGAATTTTTTATTTTGTATTTTTTGCGTGGCCGTCCGTACTGCTAAAAAAACCCCGACCGCAATCAGACTTCCGCGTCAAATGATGTTCCTCAAGCGCCCCGCATGCGCAGAAGAAGAGTGCCGACGTCACTCAGCAGCACTGTTTACGGAAGTAATGCTGGATTCCGCCGTCTATGGATCAATTTTAAAGTTTATTCAGTATCGGGGGCAGACAGTATCGTCACTAGATCATAACATCACGAATGAAGCCAAGGAAAAAATGCACAATTTATTAGAAAGCAAGAGCTTTTTGTGGAATATTGCCTTTAACTTCTGTAGGAAAGTTTGCTTATATGTGTAGTCCGAACCAGGAGTGATTTGACACTGTAATGCGCTTTAGTAACACAAACATATTTAATAAGTTTATGATTATAATTTTCAGCCGTTGTTCACATACATATTTACGGTGTTTTGAGTTTTCTGGTGCAGAATTGTGATGCATGTCAAAACAATCGGATATGTATCCGACTTGGTACCACATATGAAGTAACGCAGACCGGATTTTTTTGGAGGGGGGTGAAAATATCAGAACTGAGCCGTTCAGACTTCCGTGAAGAAGTCTGATATGGGTCATATAAGGGCAAAAAACAAACTGGGTTCGCATTTGTATGCTGTGCAAAGAGCACGTGTCAAACTCAAGGCCGGGGGGCCAAATGTGGCCCATTGTAGCGTTTTATGCAGCCCTGTAGACGTAGACGCCAAATTACATCAATTTCTCCAGTTTTTTTGCCATCATTAAAATTTACGCAAAATCAATAGATCCCTGCATTTTTTCCTACTAATCTATAAAAGTTCATTGCAAATTTCTACATCAAGGGACCGCTAACTCCCACCTGTAGGTGGCAGTATTTCTTACTTTTGTGACACTTTTGCTTCAGCCTTACTTGATACCAAGTTATAGTTTGTGATCAATATAAAAAGTTCATTATTTTATCAGTTTTGTTAATGGGTTTTCTCAATACATTCTAGAACATTCATGATCTTGATATAGCCCAAAATAAAAATGAGTTTCACATTCCTATCATGACTTACACCGACCACAAGCCTGACTACGAACTGAACTCTTGTTTTTGATCACATTTTCAGTGTTCGGATGGCAATTCGGCCCAGGACAACTCCTCCCTGAAGCGCGTTGCCGTTGTCGAGGACTTCTTCGACATCATCTATGCCATGCACGTGGAGATGGGCGCCGACCCGGGCCGAGCACCCAAACATGCGGGGCAGAAGAAAACCTACAAAGCGGTGAGTTAAAACACCAGCATGGATCTAAAATCAACTGCACACTCACGTTTTGCTTCCTTTTGTCCCGTCCGCGGTCCTCAGTATGAGTGGTTCGGTTTCTGCTGATGGAAAAACAGGACAGTAAGCACATCCTGCCCCAGTTGGCTGCAGGTGCACAATTCAAAACCACGTTCAGGAGAAAATAAGAGGTTGTCCATGCACAAAAAATGTGCAATCTCCCAGCTCCGGCGATTTGCCTGACCTACAAGATTTACTCAAACAGTTGCCAACTATCTCTAAATGCAAACCCAGGTGGGGCAGAAGGAAATTATATGAATTTACTGATGAAATTCAGACCTGAAGCCTCTCTTTAAACACATTTGAAGATGTAAAATCCAGAGAAAAAGTGATAAAATTCAAAGATGGATGAGAACTGCTTTATTATAAAGTATGTAAACAGTCGTATGAAGATGATTTTTTTTTTAGATTTTTGCCTTAGAGGTGCCCCATACATCCTGTACCTCACTTCCCTGACAGAGCCCTCGTTTTCACACAACAAGCAATTGAATTTAAAAAACACAAGGTCAGAATTATACATACAGACTCAAATATTGATTTGAAAATCTATATTTTCTTTGCAAATATTGATTTGAGTCCGATTAATTAACTGGAGTACACAGGAAAAGGCCATTTGCTGAAAGAATAACAAAGTTAAGGCAGTAATTAGGCCAAAATTATACAAAACATACAAACATTTTGCATTTAAGATAAAAACAACTTTGTAAATATTTTTTACCCAGAGCTTCTCAAGTAGCATAGCTTTAGCTTCACCTGCTTCATCTCATAGTAAGCATTTGGTATTAATTTATTGAGGTATAGAGGCCTGTCCCAATAAGCAATAAATCAGTTAATCGCACGATCAATAAAAACAAGCTCAATAATTTCCATTTGCATAATTTGTTGTTTTTCTCTTTTCTCTTTCTACCAAAAATTGGATGATAAAACTCTTCAGTCTGGTGCTTTTGTCTCAAATAACCTTTTTTTAATGACAATTTTGCTTAGAGACTTCATAATTCCTTTTATATGTTGTTTCTGTTATTTTGTTTATTTTGCATATTTAAAATATCTTCCACTTCCAGCATTAAATATTTATTAGAGTTTTAAGTTTATTGATCTTTCAGAATGTGTTCCTGCATTATTAAGGCATTACTGTTATATTACTTGAAAATGATCTCAAAACAACAATATTAGCGTTTGTCACTATAACAGTAATAATTTATCACTGTGACATGTTTAAATATATATACAGCTCTGGAAATAAATAAGAGCCCCATTGAAAACCTCCTGGTTATTCCACCAAATATTGATTCCTGAAATCTTCCTGAGTTAAAATATTAATATTGTTGTTTCTAAATGAATATGAACTTGTTTTCTTTACATTATTTGAAATCTGAAAGAACTACATCTTTTTTGTTATTTCTCATTTTCTGCAAATAAATGCAACATTTTTGCTTTGAATTTCAGAGACATGTTGTCAGAAGTTCATAGAATAAAATAATAATAAAGTTCATTTTACTCTAACATATATCTATAAAAAGTAAAATCAGGGGAACCGATAATTTTAAGTGGTTTCTTAATTTTTTTCCAGAGCTGTGTATATATCTTTATCTTCTAAAGAATCCAGGTCAACAGTATTTAGTCGAAGTAATTTGATGATCAAATGTGGTTCAGGTCCTTTAAAACCAATTCAACAGCCCTTTAATTGAGCAGTCCTCTTGCTGTCCCCCTGGCTCTACCACCCTGGGTGTAGAGCCACATCAACCACATCAAAACCACCAATTAAAGATGAGCAACATCAACGTTTAGTTTCATTTATTAAGTAGTTGCAGCAATCTTCTCCTCTATGTGGAGTTGTGAGTCTCCCGGTTATCTAATGCTCCTTGGTGATAGATGATGGTTGTAAAGGTTTGCAGGAAGACTAACAGTTAAAATATTATGAAGATGCAGCCGCGACGGAGGCCATTTTTAATCCACCGTGGAACCGGCGGTGAACTATATGATATTTTTCACATTTAAAGCAGAGAATAAGACCAGCTCTGGGAGAATAATGTTTCATTTATAACATCAGGAGTTACCAGGGTAACAACCAGCAGAGAAACAAAGTACTTATGATGCTTTTTTTGTGCCACATAGTCCATATTTCTGGAACAAAGGCAGTCTGTTATCATGAAATCACTGAGTTGTGATCTTATGGTTGCATGTGTTGCCCTGACGGTGCAGCAGCAGATCTTTGTTTTCAGCCTCAGAGGTGCAGATGGGAGTATTGGGGTTGTCTAGGGTACCCCCTCCTCTCCTTCTACTCCACCAGGAAATAAAAAAGAAAAAAATCTTCCTGCCCTGTAGAGAGGTCCTGTCACGTCTCATAGAGTGTACCCTTTTGAGGAGGCAGCATCTCTGGGGCAGGGCATAATATGGAGCTGTCACTGTGGCCTTCTGGGAGGTGCACGCTCCTCTGGGTGGCCTTTCCCTCCCCGCTGCCTCAAGGGGCCATGAAGGGAGGGTGGGTTGGTGGAGGCGGGCTGAACGGGACGGTGGGCACCCCCACCACCTTCTCCATGGTCACGTGAAGGTCGCATTTTGCAGGAAAACGCCAGAGGGGGGTGACACGGGGAGGGTGGCAAAGCAGCGGAAACAAAAACAGGGCAGGAGATGCACCTGAGGAAGACGGAGAAAACACAGGGTTTAAATCCTTGAAAATGCTTGAATTTTAAGTAGGTGTTTTCAAGGTTTGGAAAGTGCTTGATTTCTGTTTAAAGTCCTTTAAAGTGCTTGATTTTTGTAATACAGTGCAATCTAAAATTTGATTAAAAGCCTAAATTTTTAAAACGTTCTTGTATTTGTAATACATTTTTTTCTCACTGTGTGACGTTTACTCAAACTTGTTTTAGGTCAGCTAGATTCACCATATTTATTTCTATTTGCTAAATGCCAGAAAACAAAATTAATTTAATTATTAATTTTTATAGATTGTCACTTGTGGCCTTTATTTTGAAAGTAAGCCAACAGGAAGGGAACAGAGAGAAGGAGGAAACGACATGGGCAAAGATACAGAGGGGAACTCAATGCCAGATAATCTTTTAGAAATATTTTTGTAACTTTCTTTATTGTGATTAAGCATTTAATTTGAGCAGGAAGATCATTTGCCTTGATACAGTTTGTTTGGACTGTTTCAATATAATTAATATTTAGCACTCTTAGCGCTCAATGCAGTGGCGCCAAAAGTAAGAATGTATGGTATGGCATACAAAGGGGCGCTGCGCAAGAGGGGCGCCAAAACAATGACGTAAAAATTATAGTCTGCATTTTCTGTATTTAACAGAAATATGGAAATTTTCTGAGGTGCATGTTACTCCTCACATACGTATACTCCTCAGAAAGTACAAAGTTGCTCACCTTCTTAATGAATTATTGATCTCTGTAACTGAAATGTTAAAAGTTGGACAACATAATGAAAATATGGAGAACATAACACTTATATTTTAGTTCATCTTATCTCTTTTGTAGAATGACAGCAGTATTTACTGTCGGATATCAATATCGGCTAACATTTTCATATCTACGCATCGTTTAGAAAATTAAACGGTTATAATAATATATTTTAAAAATCAACTTGGACAAAAAAAATTACATAAAAATCGGTATTTTCTTTTTTATCAGTTAATGAAATCCCCCTGATATCCTGGACAGAATGTGAAAAGTTGACAAGTTCGAGGACGTTTGTGTTATGCTAATAGCACTTAGCCTTCGTTAAAGACTGATTAGCGGAAGTGAGAGCGGTGTGCAACACACATAATTATCCGGTCGGAACACACGCAGGGTTGCCAGATTTTTGACAGTTTCCGACGTAAAATCCGTCCAACTAAAACAAAACAAAACAAACAAACAAAACACCTTTCTCGAATCATTCGATAAGACGTTACAGCTCGAATGCTGAATAAATAATAAACAGCGAATTAAAAGTGTCTTTCTTTAATACAGTTGTATTGTTTTTAAATCCAAAGTTTGGTGCTGAAAAGGTTTGAAAACTTACCGTGATAAGTGCTTCAATTTTGCTGAGGTAAAAGTGTTCAAACCCTGGCGGAAAGGATTCGGAACTGGGTCGTCGGATTGCTCCGGTTCGGGCCTGAAGGGAGGATTCCTCTCCGTGTCATGTTGATATAACACCTAAATCTGAACCCAAACTTTCACACCAATATAAAATAAAATAAATAAAAGAACCCTCCTCCTCCTCCTTCACACAGTTCTAGTTCATCCGCAGTAACCCTCGCTTCTCCCCCGGCGCAGATAGCTGAGACCTATGCCTTCCTGCCCAGAGAGGCGGTGACTCGGTTCCTAATGAGCTGCGGAGAGTGCCAGAAGAGGATGCACATTAACCCCAGCACCGCGGAGTTCAAAGGTAAAAGCATCATTAAACACAGCTCTGTTTTTAACACCAACCAAACAAGTTTGTTAACGCCGATTCTTTCACATAATGACGCATTTATTACTTAATTATGTAGCAATAAATCATACAACTAGACTTCTCTGATTTATAATCGTGTTTACTCTAATAGGATGCCTTAACAGCATGGAGTGTAAGTTCTTCATCACCCTGTCAGACATTAAAATGAGCTGAAATAATCTAATGTGTTTGAATAGTTTCTGAATGGAGCTCCCATTAAATAAAACATGCGTATATCCATCACTGACATGATGTAACAAAGACTCAAGAGGATTGGCTCGCTGGGATTGACTACACCGCTGAAACGTGATCGCAGAGTCCCTCTAGTGGCCGGAGTGGAAACTGCAGAAACCTGCCGCGCCATTGTTTCCTTCCAGGTGTGACAGGCTGACAACAGAGGGTTGAATTTCTACCTAACAATTCAAACTCACCTTTAAAATGCTGCCTGAACTGTAGTAAACAGACACTTAGCTTAGACTGTGTTTGCTGCTGAGCTGAGAGGAAAACCGGCTGCAGCAGGCATCAAGGCAAAGTGTTTCTATGGTGCGCAGCAGCTTGGTGCCTCTGTGGTTTTATTCTTTGCTCTTTTGTGAAATTTTAAGACATTTTCAGAGGTAAGCAGGTCTGGACTGCAGGTTTATTTTTCTGTTTAGGAGTCATTCTGCTGTGTGTCTCATGTGTGGAGTGGAGTTTTGTGTCCTCAGCATGAGGAAAGCAAAGGTGTGCGTCCATTTTAAAGTAGTTTTTGTATTAAAAAAAATCCTTTTGGATCTTGTCATTGCATTTTTTCTGAATTCATTACGTTTATTGATGAAGGAAAAAAAATGGCTACCATGTCCTAGTCTAGTTTGTAGTGCAGATAACTTAGTGCACCTGAAATAAGACAAAACTAATTTACAAGTAACTCTTTAGCAAGATATAGGAGCTTGTTTTAATTAAATAATTCATTAATATTGATGAAAAAGTTCTAGCTCCAATTGCAGTATATTTCACTTAGAAGATGGGAAAAATGTTTTGTTATAGGAGAAATAATCTGCCAGTGGGACTGGCAGATTATCTTCTTCTAGTATGAAGATATTTCACTAAAATGTAACTAGCTCAATATTAAATAATTATTTATTTAAAATAAGACCCTGTCTTGCTGAAAAGTTACTTGTAAGTTAGTTTTGTCTTTATTTCATGTGAACTAAGATATTTACACTAGAAACTAGACCAAATTTTTTTTTTGCTTTTGCAGTTTATTCTTAAAAGTTTCTAATTTTTTTCCAAAAAGTTACTGAAGTAACTGTAACCACCCATCTCTGGTAGAGTGATTTATCTCTGTATTCATGGAAGATGTGTGTTTTTGCTGCTTGTCTTTGTTAGAAAACGACCGACCCACCTCGCTGGTCCCCGACCTCATCGACTACAACATGCCTCTTACTGCCACCTACCTGAAGCAGATGAAACTGCAGTGCATGACAGCCACTGAGAGGGTGAGTGAATGTTCACATCCAGCAACAAAATGTATATAAATAAAAATCTTTCAGTTTATTTTCTGTTAAAGCTGTGGGAAGAGAAGACTCCCTGTGCAGCTGAATCAGAGACGATTCCTCTGTAACTTTGGATTGAACGTTAAACGAGGGGAGCAGCCCTCCTGCTGGGAGGAGGAGCGATGTGTAGAGGATTTAGGGAAGCTTTTATGACAGTGACGTCACGTGTTTAAGACCCTCCCACGTGTCGCTGCTGTGACAGAAACACTCAAGAACTGCTCTCACTGAAGTGCAGGGAAGCAGCACTTGGTCATGATGGTGTAGGCCTCAGTCTCTAACAGTTAGGATTACGCAGCCAGGATGAGCCGGACTGGGATCTGTGGGTGAGTACTGGGGAACCGATTCCCATCATTGAGTTTTAATGGGACAGTTTTTAAATAATTAAGCTTTCAGGGTGGGACGTCAGCATTTCAGGAGACCTGGAGGGATGTAGTTTAAAGCTCAGAATGCTCTTTGGAAAAGTCTCATCAATGCATTTAAGATCTAGATGTGATGCAGAAAACTAATGTTAGAGTGAAATTTTGGAGAAATATTTTCATACTACACCGTTCATCATCTACTTCACGTGGGATATTTGTGATACATGTGCAAAGGATGCTGTAATCTTAACCTTTCCTAATGTATCAGTTCTCGATTCTTCCAAATCCTGGATATTAATGTTATGTTGAGTTGTTGTGATTAGAGACTCTCCTTAATCCTGCACGGCTCACTTGGTGCCTAATAGAGCCGTCAGTGAGCATTCCAGTCCGCCACAAACCCTCTCAGAGCGGGATGGACTCGTATTCCCAGGGGTCCGGGCCTATTTGTCTGTTCGTGTGAGGGGAATGAGACGACAGCACGTATTTCTGCTCCCTTCCAGTCACACAGTCGTTGCTGCGCTGCCTGTGAGCGAGACGCCAGCTGACACAGAACGGAGTGAATGCTTGTGAGCAAATCGGCCCGTTTCCCCTTGTGTTGAAGAAGCTTTTGTTTTTGATCTTGTCTTGTATTTTTGAAGGTCGGGTCAGATTTGGAGTTGTTTAGCTTGGGTTTCCAAATCCTTACCTCAGTGATGGACTTGTGTTTTTTGTTGCGGTACAACAAGCATCTTCAGGGTCCCTGCGTAGCAGAGTTAAAAATAGCAATGCTCCAAGAAACATAGTTAACACCAAGACTCCTGCAGACCCTCTGATATTCTCCTCATCCTCCTGAAAGCCAAATATTACATTTCTATTTCCTGGTCCTGAATTAAACGTGTTGAAATATTTTCTTACCATAATTGCCTGTATCAATCAATCGATCTTTTTTGTGTAGCACAATTCAGCAACAAGGCAGTTCAAAGTGCTTTAAATCACACAAATACAAAATAAAAAAAAAAAACATAAAAACACCAGTCACCAATTTGAGAAACTAATAACAAACATCACTATAAACATCAAATATGTTGATCAATGCTCCATTTGTTATGTTTCAAATGGGATTCTAGAACAATTATTTAAAACAAGGGAGTTTGAGGAAAAAAGTTGTAGGACTGAAACGATTAATCAGAATAATCGTGATCAATCGATTACTGAAATAATCGCCAAATAATTTAGTAACTGATTAATTGTGAACTGAAGTATGCAGACTAAAACAAACACAATTTTGCTGAAAGAACAAAATAAAAAGTAAAAAAAAACACCATTCAGTCACCAATTTCAGAAACTAGTAACAAACATTATTAATGCCATCATCATAAACATCAATACAAATATGTTTATCAATGACTAATTTAGTAACTGATGAACTGAAGTATACAGACACTCAGAGCAGTAATTAAGCCACAACTGAAAAAAATATACATACATTTTGTATTTAAGATAAAAAAAACTTTTTCTGTAAATATCTTCTACTCAGAACTTGTCAGTATAAAAAATCTCCTATTCAGCACCTTTTGCTATCCAATTATTAACTGGTTAATCAAAAAAACCATCAACAGATCAGCTCTACACTGTAAAAATGTTAAATCAAGCCAAAATGTCTCAGATTTTCACGTTGACTTTAGAATAATTTTTTAGCTGCAGATTCCTGTTTTGCTGCAAACGATCCACCGTTCACTAAAGGAAGGGTAGGCAGTAACATGTTTACTTTGTTATTTTAAAAGGCATTAAATTATTTGTTTATTTGCATATTTTTATGTATTTCTAATGTGTAAACGTGCCATTAAATTAAATTATGTACCAGAGCTGGAAGAAAACCTGTTACAATCAGAGAAACAATAGAATAAATCATATCCTGGTCTGTGCTGAAGTCCTAGTCAAAGTCCAGACCCGGTTTCCATTTAATCAGACTAAGCTTTGGCTACTTTTTGCAAAGAAGACTGTAAGTGAGTATGTGGTTATATTTGCTGCCTGATTGGCCCTCAGGATGACAGTTCGGTGAGCAGCGAGGACATGAACAACGCTGAGCCCGCCTGGGTCGCAGCGGAGCAGCCAGCAGTGCCTGAACCGAGCCCACCCAACGGGGAGCGGGTCAGCAACCCGACCGCCATCGTCAAAGAGGAGGACGGTAAGACCACAGAGTGAAACATGCACTACATTCAGTTCTAGATTCATTTATCAATACATTTTAAAATGACACAGATGAAGAAAAAAGAAAAAGAGGCAAAAATGAGAGATAATAATGATAATAATAAAGTATAAAGTATTAATGAATTATTGACGTAAAGCAAGCTGCTACATTGTACTGAAAACTTACTTCTAAGTTAGTTTTGTTTTATTTTAAGTTTGGTAAAATATTTGCATTAGAAACTAAACCAAAATTGTTTTGTATTTTTGCAGAGCAGGTCTAACTTTTCAAATGATAAACGTCTTGCAAAGCGTTTTTGCTTTACCACCGGATTGTTTTTTTATATCTTTGTTTATATCTCTTCTGCTGTAGAAATGACGTGTGCGGTACAGATTGTGCAGATTGGTTCTGTGCAGGAAACAGCTTGCCTGTTTCTTAATCCAGATAAATCCAGTCGTTCAGTGGGTGCTGCCTGCATCCGCTGTGCACCCCTTGCTTCTAGGGTCCACAGCTTTAGGAAGTGGGACAAAGGCCAGATTATAAACATATTCAGAACGCGGGGAATTGGTTTTCAGGATGATGGAAGTGATTCATTGGTCAAACAAGAATAAATAATGTGAAATACACTCACTTATCTTTCTTAAGAGCTACAATTCTCCTCATTTCACTCTTTGATATGAAATTCTCTCCTTCGACTTCAGCTTTTATTTATCCTGACAGCTGACCCTAATGCACACTTCCTTTACAAATCCAGAGCGTGCAGCAGGAGGCAGGAAGCCCCTTCCCCCTGCAGCAGTTCCCCCCCTCCAAAGCTTTCTGTTGCAAACAAAGCTGAATTAATGCTAAATTAGCTCATCTGTGCGTCTTCACCCTCTCTGCCAGATGATGACTCCTCGGAGAGCGGCAGCGCCAACGGGCTGCCGGCCCTGACCTCGCCGGAGGCGCTGGCTGCGGGTGCGAACCCCCAAGATGGCGGGGCTTCCTACAGGGAGGTGGCAGAGAACGGGCTGAGCGCGCCGCTGGACTTCAGCACCACCTCGTCCTCGTCGTCCTCCGAGGATCAGCAGCCGGTGAATCTGAGTGACAGACTGCTGCCGGCCGGGAGCTCGCCGCCGAACAGCTACGCAGCAGAGCCCAACAAGAAGTTTCCCATCAAAACAGAGTTCTCCAACAAGGTGAGGCGCAAACCGAGCTTCTCTCTGAGGGATCTCATTCTTCGCTTGTAATTTATAATAACTGAAACGATTAATCAGCCTAAATCAACTATTTAAATCAACCATTTTAATGATCGATTAATCGATAATATGCCCAAAAGTGTTTGATTAATCGTTAACAGATTAATCAATTACTTAATGATTAATCAAAAGTATTTTATTAATTGTTAACAGACTTAAAAGTAATTGATTAATCATTAACAGATTCAAAACAGGCCATTTGCTGAAAGAACAATATTAGGTGAGTAAACAAGCCAAAATGAACAAAAATAAATACATTTTGCATTAACGATAAAAAGAAACCTGTTTTATCTGTAACTATGTTCTACTCAGTACTTCTCAAGTTGCATTGTTTTAGTTTCAAGTGTTTCAGATCCTATTATGCACCTTTTGATATCTAATTATTATTTAGTTAATCCAAAATTAACCAACAGATCAGCCCTGCACTGTTTTATGATGCCATATTTGGGCTGTTTAGATGGAACTAAAAGGAGGAGTAAATATTCACAAAAAAACTTAGACATTTTAAGATTAATCTCAGAAATTGTCTAGAAAAAAAAAAACAAGTAAATTTTGACTTTTGATATATTTAGGGCTAGATGATATGACTGAAAAACAGATCATGATTATTGATTAGTTTTTGTTTTAAATATAAAATACTGCCAAACGTTTGGGCTGACCTTTCATGTTTTATCCAGTTTTCTCTCCAACCTGTTGTTTTTTACTTTGAAGTAGTTAAGAGGCAAAGTGGAGGAACTTTAAACTGCTGCTGGCAGGTTACCCAGCAGCTTGTTGCTAGGTAACCAAAGAGCGAATGAGTTGCTAGGCAACCACAGAGTGAGTGAGTCAGTTAATTCCACCAACTTTGTTTAGCTAGCTGTTAGAGGTTGAGCGGCTAAAGACTTTCCTCTGCTTACATGTCCCAGAATGCTTTGCGGTTCTGGATGAGAGTTAAATAAAATTATTGAATATTTTATCAGACATATTATCTATTGATCATGTGAGATATTGTAATTGATTTATTGTCCAGCCTTAAATTTTTATATTAAAGACTGAGTTAAAAAAATCTGCAAAATGTGCCAATTTTTTTAATCCAGTTTATCGATTTATCGTAAACTGGATCAATCTATTGATTAATCAATAGATTAATCAATAACATAATTCTGGTTTGTCTTCAGTCGCCTCCTTACAGCTCAGGGAGTTATGACTTGGTGAAAACAGAGCTGAGCATGAGCGCTGAGGACTTGACCTCCAGTCGGGCGCAAATAATCGACGACGATGACGACGATCACGACGACCATGACGACAACGATAGGATCAATGACGCTGAGGGGATGGATCCTGAGAGACTCAAAGCCTTCAATGTGAGTACCCAGTCAAACTGATACTGCCAAACATGTCTGCCATATCAAATGGGAAATCATGTAACTTCAGGAAACTAAGTTAAATCCATCCCCTTTAGGACTTTCTGCTAAATAACAGAACAAAATTGGCCTGTTGCTTCACTTTTGGAACCAGCTGTATCTCTCCAGAAGTCCTGCTCCCATAATCCTTAGTTTGACTGATGAGACAATCTCAGCAAAACAGCTGTGGATCCAACCTAAGGTCACTCACACTGAAAGAGTGTTGGTACTGGTTCAGTCCTTGGATGTCCTTAGAGCAGAGGTGCACAAACTTTAACAGTTTTTAACAGCTCGATTACAGTTTGTGATAATTGAACTCCCTGTGGTGGTTGTTTTATGACATTGTTTTAGTTACCCTGAGAAAGAAAACAGGGGAGGAGCAAGCAGACAAATCCAAGATGGCCGAACATAATGCCGAATGGTCATAACTTAAGCTGACATCAACCATGAAATATTGCTGGTTTGGATAACATTTGTCCGTAATTAATAATTTTTTAAGGGACTTGGTATAAAGCAGTAGTTAAATGGTCGATCTTAAGGCCTTGAATAGACAGGTATTCAATCTTAAGCCCTTGTTCAGTCCACTTTAATCAAACTCTAGTCCATTTGTGTAGAAAGTCTGGTTCACTTGGGGAGATGTGAATGCATGATCGGACCAAAAAAGTGAATTCTGGTCCACCTGAAAACCTCTGTCGTGGTTAGGTAGACGTGAACTTTGGCGCGGTTCGAATGCACGATGTGAATACCAACCAGACCAGTGATTGCTCCAAAAGTAGGACACCAACTGTAGCGCAGGGCATTCTGGGTAGATACAACTAAAACAAACTCAACAGTCTTTCGCTAACTGGATAAATGGTTAGTGGTCTTTACCAACGACAAAAGTGAAATCCCACAATCACTCCAATCTGATGCTACTCCAGCTTTGTTTACATTTTGTGAAGAAGGCAGCTGTGCTCAGTGTCTTCGTCAGGGGTTTTCATGGTTTTTCCTTCAGTAGTTCTTTGTGAAGCGCCCCCACAGGCGAGGAGGGGAACAGGTTTTTCAAATGATTTGGTTCATCTGACACACTGCAGTGTGAAAGCAAATCACAGCAGCTGAAAATGCAACGAATGTTACAACTTCGATTACCAGTTTATCTGAGTCTACAGACTATCAGGTGTGAAGACACCTTTAGTGTTTATGTCTCTTATGATGAAATGTGTTATTACTTTGAGCTGGTATTATACAAAGATGAGAGAAATGCATCCCAAACTGTTCTGTTTGCTTTGTGTGATTTACTGTCTGAGCCTGAACAAGCCTCAGAAAAACCAATATAACAGGAGAGTTGCAGAAATGCAAATGTGAGGGAAAAAGCAAACACCAGAGATTTTATCCACTGACTTTATTTCTACCCTTCCACCCCCTGCCTCTCCTCTTTCGCTCCCCATCATCCCCGCCTCCTCTTTTCTGCCTTTTGTTTCTCACCCATCATTCGACCTCGCTCCCCCTCTCTCCATTCTTTCTGCTCCACATCCCCTCTCTCTCTCTCTCTCTCTCGCTCTATCTCCCCTCCCCCTTGCTCATGGTGTCTGTCAGATGTTTGTGCGTCTGTTTGTGGATGAGAATCTGGACCGCATGGTGCCCATCTCCAAGCAACCCAAGGAGAAGATCCAGGCAATCATCGAGTCCTGCAGCCGCCAGTTCCCGGAGTTCCAGGAGCGCTCCCGCAAGCGCATCCGCACCTACCTCAAATCCTGTCGCCGCATGAAAAAAGGCGGCTTCGAGGTAAAAAAAGAAAAAGAAAAAGAAAAGTTATCACCCCAGTTAAACTCCTTTCTATGAAAAAGTATGAATAATGCTGCCAAACATGTCAGCAGATCCGTCCAACGCCCCCTCACCTCACCTCTGCCATGGCTGAGAACATCCTCGCTGCCGCCTGTGAGAGCGAAACCCGAAATGCTGCCAAGAGGATGCGGCTCGACGTCTACCAACCGACGGTAAATGTCTCGGCAGGCGGAGTGTCTGAATACACCCAGGGGGGATTTAGGAGACTGCACAACCATCAGTAACCAAAAACTGCACAAAACAAAACGCACATACACCGATGAGGCAAAACATTACGACCAATCACAAGTGAAGTAAACAGGATGGACGGCATTTTCACCATGGCTGTTGGGTTGAATATATTAAGCAGGAAATTACTGTTTTACTGCAAAAGTATTTTTGGTCTAGTTTCTTAGTACAGATATCTTACTTGAGGTAAGACAAAACTACCTTACAAGTAACTTTTCAGTAAAATATAGGAGCTTGTTTTAAGTCAATAATTCATTAATATTGATTAAAAACACTAGTTCCACTAGCAGATTACTTCACTTATAACAAATTTTTCCCATCGTGGCAACTTCCTGCTGGAGGGCAAAAAGTTGCTCGCCAACAATGACTATCATTGGTTTTAGCTGTCCAGTTGTCAATATAACACGCTAAATCTTAAATGTATCTGTGATACATAAAAGAAAAAGGGATGCAGTGCTTTGCTAGCAATTGTCAATTCTATGACAACTAGATAAAGTTTTAAATAAGAAAAAAATAGTGAGGGAGAGGGAAGTAGCTCCTTTATGCTAGCTTGACTTTGACAACCTTAGCATGTAGATGTGTTGCAGAATTTGGTGTTTCGGTTCAGTTAGAGAAAAGACGGCCAACACACCAACTCTGTGACAGATCAGATCAGTACAACAGTTTATTTTAGTTTTGATTAGCTAATCGTCCACCGCTGTGTTCAGATGATCACTTATCAATAATTACAAAATAAACATCAAGGCTGAAAACATAAAACTGTAGCAGACCTAATGTTCAGTTCTTTGTGTGGGAAATGTTTGCGTGTTTTTTGGTGTTTAATCTTGATACATTAGTGGAGCTGTTGTCAGTCAGTTGCTATGACAACCAGTCTGTGTGTAGTGTAGCCGTCATAGAGTGAAAAGTAGAATACAGGTTATTTAATGGTTTTTCTGTGTTATTTTTCCCTTTACTAAATTAATAACACCAACATCTCCAGGTATTATTTTGTTAGCAGATTTGTTCTATAGCAACAGATGAAAGTAAAAGAATTGTCTTTTTTCCCTCCAGCGTCGTGCATATGCACGACATTTCCGCATGTAAACGACAACACGAAACATGTCTATAATAGAGTCCAAGCATCACCAGGTCATTCTGTTTAACAGATGGTCGTAATAACATGCATAATCTGTGTACATTGTTCTACCCAAATTGAAAACAAACTTTCTCCCAGGACGAGCCCGCCTCCGTTGACAAGCCCATCACAAGGGATCCAGCTCCTGTGGTGCCGTCAGGGTTCACTATCGCCAGCGCAGCTTTTGCCCAAGACCAACTTTACACCAACGGAGGCCTCAACTACAACCTGCGGGGATACGGGACAGTCGGCAGCACCCAGCAGAGCTCCAGTGCTGCACAAACCAACGGTGAGTCCAGAACAAACATGTCAGACTGAGGAGTAACTTTAATGCTTTTTTACGCCTGGTTCAATTAATTCAAAAGGACATCAGAAAATCTGACCTCAACTTCCCTCTGTTAGTGCTTTTACAATTTTAAACAGTCTTGATGAGAAAAACGAACCTATATCGATAATCAGAGAGGACAAAATGTTGAGTCACTGGTTGCCATGGTGATTCCTGGCTTTTCTAGAGAGCTCTCAGTAGAACAGGCAACAAGAACTGAAGCCTCGAATGAACAAGAGCTGTATGAAAACTGCAAGTCGTTCTGAAAAACCTGTGGAGTCAAGAGTTGTAGAGCTTTCTAATGGAGACATATGCACATTTATATGTTCCTGCACCATTTTATACAGGAAATCTGACAGATTTAAACGCCATTTAATTCTAAGTTGAAAGCTGTGAGCTGAAACAGTAGAACTGACGGTTGAACAAACTCGACACAAAACCATCAGTTCAACAGCAGCAGGGTAAAATAAGACAAAAATCCCTTCAAATGGATGTAGGAACTGTTTTGGTGGAGACAAAACTAGGAACACCTGAAAGTATTTTAAAAATATTTTTAACTTTTTTTTTGCAGTTTAATGTGTGTAATGAGTGTGAACATCACATGGACAAATCTTTAAAAAATGCAATAAACCATGACTGTTTGTAATAAAAAGTATATCATAGATATGTATATAAAATGCATGTATATAAATTGAGAGATTAAAATAAGAATTGTGAGATAAAAGTCAGGATTATAAGAAAAAAATCTGAATTCTGAGATTAAAATCAAAATTGTGACTTTTTTCAGTGGCCCTATCCTCCAGTACTCTTATATTGGTACCTTTAATTACATACATACAACATTTTCTTGACATTTGAACATGCATGGACTAGTATTCTTTGGATCTGACTTGACTTTCTTTATCTCTAAATTTTTATCAAATTTTGTCCATAAAATCCATTGTTTTGTTAGTATTCAGTTTCAGATTGATGATAAATATACTCTGTTTTCCTCTCTTAAGCTTTATACTTAAAACTTGCAATATGAAATAATAATAACCACAGTAGTATATTTCCTAAATATTCAAAATTTTCATTCAAACTTTATAAGTATATTTTTCTTTTCATGTAGTTTCTACAGTATAAATCCCAGCTTGCTCCAATATTTAACTAATATACATTCACATATTGCAGGTCTTACAGCTTTCCTTGTCCACCTTCTGCTGTTTTCACTGCTCACACTGTTACTCACACTTCAACCACATCCGCAGTTTTAATGTTTAATCAGTTTTAAATGTTTCAACATGAAGATTTTACATAAAGCTATTAAAAAAACATGGGATGTGTCAAAGAGAAGGCAGATAAATGCCAGAATGTCCCACTGAGGCAGTGTTTTTAATTTCACCTGCCAATGACTTACTCAGAAATCTACTTTATTTAAGATGTATGGAATAAATTGTTCAAAACGCTTGACACATTTATAGGCACCGCTAGTAAATATGTGCAAAAAGGTTTAGTTTTTATTCATATGTAGGAGCAGCATTATCTTCCACTAAAGAAGTCGATAGAGTTCCTCTACCGTCCTGCCAGGCAACGGAGTGCAGACTAAATGTACTCAAACTAAAGTTTAGATTATTCTGTGTTTTCAGTGTGGCATTGTGTGAGGGCTTTGCACCTGTGGTGAATATGGATAATTTTACAACATTCTCATGCAGTTTTGCCCTGAAACTGCATTTCTGAGGCCTTTTCTTTGTACCACCAGTTTAACTGTGCAGTGAAACTGATGTGAGCGCATATATTTATGTAAACAAATAATAATTTGTGGTGTTCATTTGGTAAATAAATGCTTGGCATGCCCCACTGCGGCCGTCCAGCTCCTATGGAACAACAAGAGGGTCAAAAAGATGCTAAATTTGACGGGTATTTTACATTGTTAACATGCAGAAAGCTGCATTCACCACCGAAAGCCTTTGTAAATAAACCACAATGGCAGCCAATCACAGATGGATGTTCTTCATCCAATCAGAGTATTCCTTGGATGAAGGAGAACCAATCACAATCAGCTACTCAAAATACTCCAGGAAGTTCCAGAAATGAACAAACAAAACTGTAGGATTTAATAAAAACACAACAAACCATAATACATGTGAATTTTATGTAAAATTCACATTTTGCACATTTTTGTACTTCAATTTGGGTCTCTAGTCCTTGGGAAAAAAAGCCTAAGCTCTTAAAAAACCACCCAGACGTAAAGTAGGGCTGGACAACATGGCTGAAAAACGTGTAATGCAATATCTGTCAGTGTCAATAATTATTGGTCAGTTTTTAGTTTCAAATATCTGAAATAATCCCAAACTGGTGGTGTGACCGTTCCTGTTTTATCCACAGCTTTCTCTCCACACTGTTGTTTTTATTTTTAAACAATTATGAGACACAATAAAGTTAAACTGCTGCTGCGGCAGTTACTCAACAGGTCGTTGCTAGGTAACCAAAGAGTGAGTGAGTTGCTAGGTAACCAAAGAGTGAGTGAGTCAGTTGGTGCCACTCCACTTTGCTGTAGCCTTTTGAGGTTCTGGATCAGAGTTCAGTGAATATTCTATGTATTGAATCTATCAGATGTATTGATATTGATCATGTGTCGATCGTGATTTAAGTTATTATTGACTTATTGTCCAGCATAAAGATGTGTTTAGTTTAAGAAGTAAGCCGAATGTTCAGTCTGTTGCCTCTGCAGGTCCCACAGATCTGAGCATGAAGTCCGTCGGCCCAAACTCCTCTTCGTCCTCCTCCTCGTCCTCCTCTGCCTCCAACAGTCATGGTCAGGGCGGCGGCGGCGGCGGGGCGTCCGCCCAGCTCAGCCCTCCGGAGGTGACGGCGGTGAGGCAGCTCATCGCCGGGTACCGGGAGTCCGCGGCCTTCCTGCTCCGCTCGGCGGACGAGCTGGAGAACCTGATCCTGCAGCAGAACTGAGTCCAAACCAAACCGTGCCAACGCCCCCCGGCCTCCTTAGCCTGTCCTCTGTGTCTCTCACATCCTGGCAGACGTTCACACACAAAGACACGATCCTACACGAGCGATGCCGCAGTGCATCGTGGGTAACGTAGACATGGAGCCCCCACCTGTTCCCACACGGCTATGTTCTGAAACATATCACGGGCTGAAACATGACGATTTATGCATTTGGTTGACCTTAGTGCCCTGCTTTGTGTAGCCATCCCATCAACTTCATCACACCAGTGGAAACCTCCATTTGTCTCAGGAAGCGATGATCAAAAAAAAAAAAAAAAAACCCGATGTGTATTGATGAGGTGTTGGATTAGTTTAACCCCAAAAACATAAAATTAGCGAGTCAGCACCGTTATTTCTGGTGTTAAACCAGAAAACGTGTGCAGTGCAGGTTTTATCAGGTTTTATTCTGAATCAAGTCATTTCTAACTTTAACCCCGTGTTAACCTCAACAGCTGCTGATTTTATAACGTACGCCAAAAAAATTAAATAAAACATACAGGAACGAACGAAAGGATTAACCTAAACACAGTGACAAGAAAAATCTGACAGATTTGTAAGAATGTCTTTAGCTAGGTTGATTTTATTTTCAGTTATTTTTTGTGTAAAACTCTCTATGGCAGGCTGTTTGTTGTCATGAGTGAATAGGCAGAAAAATTTTAGGAAATGTGGGTCAGAAATCCATCCTGATGAATTAGAAAGTCATTGAATTGATTATTTATTCCAGTATTTCAAATCAAAGTGAAACTCATGTCTTATTTAAAATTATACATTAATGTTTCTGTAATTATTCCAGTTTTTCCTTCCACTCAACTTTCCACAAATGCATTACTACAGCGCTCCGTGAACATGTAATATTCAAATGTTCTGAGAAACTGATTTCTTTTTTACATATACTTATAATGAGTCCCTCCAGGATTTTATGGTGATTTTTTTTTTAGATTGTTGTGGCTAAACATGACAGATTTTTCAAATTTAAACTTAACATGATCTTACAAAAACATTTAGATTGCAGCACATAACCTTCCCTAAAGAAATGGATTTTAATATAGTTAATATTTAAAGTGCAATCATGATTTTCAAGTAGCTTTTTAATGGAAAGTTTGGTGAAAGAAAAAAAGTACAATAGCACTCTTGAGATAAGAATATTGGATTTTGTGCCTCCATCACATTGATAAATGCTTAAAATATGTATGGATGTGTAATTAATCTCTGAGTTTCACAATTTAAATTCAACTGGTGGAATAAATAAACTTTTCAGTGATATTATTATTATTATTATTATTATTAACTGAGATGCACCTCCACTTGTCAGGGAGAAAAAGATTAATATAATATTTAGACTGTTTGGTCAGGAACCAGTGCTAGTGGGAAGTAAAAGAAAAAGGTGCAATATGGAGTTAATTTGTTTTTAAAATGGAGTTTCACCTCAGCCATCTTTTGCTCCAACAGTCGAGTTTGTAAAAAGAAGAAATATCTAATGCAGCATTGTAGCCAATTTCAATGTTGTTGTTCGTCGTCAGTGCCGACCTCATGACTGAGGCGCCATCAGTCGTTCTTGTTGTGACAGAAAGGACCTGGCAGAAAAACGAGACTCGATGTTGCACGTCTTGTTTTACTTTTGCGTGTTTTGAAGCGTTTTCTATAGATTTCTTTTTTAAAAAAGGCACACAGAGTGAAGCTTAGACGCGTCTGCTGCTGACAGGCGACACACACTCCTCCTCCCTCTCCTCCGCCTCCCTCCGTCTGCCCGTCTGTCCCGACGACCTCGGCGGCGTCCCCGCGTTCTTCATCGCGTCCTGACACACGCTGTTCGACAAGAAGCAAGAGACAATCTGAAGAAGATGCGATCGCATCGCAGTTTACTCTCCCGGCTTTCTGCTACGGTGTGTGTTTGTACAGAGTGTCAGAGCACAGACGAACATCTCCTACTGGTGAGTCACTCGGCACAAAACTGTTTGTCTGCGTATGTGTGTGTGTGTGCAGGTGTGTTTTCCAGCTGTCTTAATGTTGTGCTGATTTCGTGTTTGCAGAGTGGAAGTGGAATGACCCAGTTTGTACAACCTATGAAGATTTAATTCAGTCAGCTGAAACATTCCTAACAGAAGCTGCGTTTCCATTACAAATGTGCGTAAATCTTCCTCTAATGTCGCAAAATACACAATTTCGCAACTGTGGTGTTTCCATTAGAGGAGAAATGAAATTAAAATCACATGTGAATAAGCTTGTTCACGCGAAAAGTCTTTTAAAAAACATGCCAGTGACGGATGTAAACAGTTAAATGAGATATATTTATAATTCAGTCACCAATCAGAGGAGACGTCTGCATTTCATTCAGGCGTTGGCACGACAAGCCCCGCCTTCCTGGGAGCGGCTACATATGCGGCGTTTTGGGGATTTCGCAGATAAACTATGGATTTAACACATTCGATGATACACAACTTTTTATAAACTTTTTATGCTGTGAGAGCTCTGGAGGAGCCAGCTGCAGATAGCCTGAAAAAAACAAAACACACTATCATCCTAATACCACTTCCTGTCGTCTTCTTCTTTCTGCTAGTAGTAACATCCGGCGGCTCGTCGTATGACTTGTGTGCTTCATTGCAGTTTTTTTTAAATATGTCTATTTTGATACGGCTGAAAAGCAACCACATCCTAGCGCAAGAATGTTTTATCAGAAAACGGGAGGTTTTTTAAATTGGCCTGTTTCTATTAAACAAATTTTAATTTGTGCAATGCTGTCAATAGAGACGCCTGTGGTGCTACCAACTGCATTCATTACAAATGAGCACAAAACTTTGTCAATATTCCACTAATGTCGAAAGTAATGAAAAAAATTAGTTGTGATGTTTCCATTTAATAAGAAATGCAATTAAAATCACCCATGAATAAGTTTGTTCATGCGATAAGTCATTAAAAAACATGGCANCGCATCATCTTCCAACTACTTCCTGTTGTCTTTTTTGTGGTTTCTGCCAGTAGTAACATTCAGTTGTTGATCATGTGACTCCAGTGTGTCTATTGCAGATAAACCAATTTCGCTACAGCCATATAACCGCCTCACCCTATAACAATTTTTTGGACAAGAGTTTTCTTGAAATTGCCATGTTTCCTTTAAGCAAATTTATTTTCATCATTTCAATTTGCGCAATTTTATGGTTAATGGAAACGCAGCTACTGACTCTTCGAGCGGCCACAAAGCGGCTTGCACCTTATCGATTAGTCTGAGATGATAGGAAATATATTTCTGTATCTGTAAAACTTTTCACACGCGTTTTTCATCCGTCTGGTTTCCAAGTTGGACACGTTTGACCTAACGGTTCTTTTATTTGTCTTCTTATGACTGGGCCGAGCAACATTCCCATTTACTTTCTATCATCTATTGCAAGTTCGGAAGCACTTTATAGCTCAGGATTAGGGAAATTTAAGATGGTGGCTTCAGCGTGTCGATACCTCATTTGAGATCTCAGCTTCAGTTCACACACAGATATAGCAAACATGTCCTTCTCCGTCCATGTCCCGTCCGAGGGGTGTTTCAAAACAGAGGCTCAGACCTAAACTCTACATTCAGAAATGTCTGCAACATTTGTTTGACGTGCAGCGGAAATTAAAAATCTATTGCAGGTTAAAATGCAAAGTTTCTGTGATTTAAAATGAGGCAAAGAGATATAATCAAGGTATCAGTCAGGAGAAGGCTTCCTAGAGCATTAGATAGATGTGGGGCTGGGTTATAATCAATTTGAACAATTAATCAAATTTTTGGTTTTTGAAGATTTATTTTTTTGGAAAATCTAGATTTTTCTTCACCAATGCACTCTGGCTTTCCATAGTTTAAAGGGCGGCCATTTTGTTTTACAAGAGTGTTTTACGGTTTCTATTTATTTTTGATGTTGGATTTGGGTCAACTCTATGATGGAGGCCAATATTTTTTTCTTTATTGTGAGAATAAAGTCATACAACTACAAAACTGAAATAATACGAGAATAATGCCACAATATTATCTGAATAAATTTGTAATTTTAGGAGAATGAAGTGCTAACAGATAAATTTCTGAAGAAAACCAATACACACAATACATTTATAACAAAATTTCCACCTTTCAGATCTAGGGCTTAAAAAATCAGGACATTATAAAAATGATCTGAGTCAAATCTAACTTTGTCTATAAAAATACACAACAGACTCCATATTATATGTGCCATTACTTATTAAAAACTGAAGTAAAACCATATATGGAGGAACTAAGCACACCATTTGTCGTAAGGACGTTGTTCTTTGGTTTGCAAATATAAGTCAAGCTACCTAAAACATTAGTTACGCTGACCCCAAAGCACTAAACATTAGTTCTACTAAAGCTCGTTTTTTCCTTCAATTCCTGTTATTTCCTTCAGTAGTTCTTGGTGCAGCGCCCCCCACAGGTGAGGAGGGGAACAGCCTTTTTAATTAGTTTGGATAGTTTGGCACAGTGCAGTGTGAAGGCAAACTGCAACAACTAAAAATGTAACAAATGTTGCAGTTTTTGTCCTTAATTGAACCAAATGTACCGGACTGTCTGGTGCCGTTTATAAATAGGAGTTTGCATAGAGGCCCTCAAAACCCAGCTTTTATTTTGATATTCCATTTCTGCTTATCGGGAAGCCATTTTCCATATTAACTAAATATTTAGCTTGGATTTAAATATTTTCTTATAGGCTAAGTATTTAGCCTATAAGAAAATATTTGACTAAATATTTATCTATTAGCTAAGTATTTTGCTTATAGCTATAAGCTAAATATTTAACTTCTGAATTAAATACTTAGTTTGGAACTCTGACATTTATAAATGTATGAATAAAATGGTGGAAATATGACTGAAAAATTACAAAATTTACTGTTAGTCTTTTTACAGTGTAACTTTACTGTAAAAAAACAGCCTCAGTTTTCCAGTTAAGCTTCATTTTTATCTAATTAATGACAATGTGGGATCTGTTGTGTGCTTTTCTACACAGTTTAGGTTTAAATATCGATCTGATCTGATCATTTTTACCGTCTTCAGCTCTGAATCTTTTCCGATAAAATCAGCTCGCCGCCTCCTCTGGTATTTTTGCGACACCTCTCAGGACGTAACCGCAGACGAGCGCTCACACGTCTTCCACGTCCTGTTTGTTAGCGTAGCAGAACCTCTGCTCCCCTCCACCTGCAGCTCAGCGCCAGGCTGAGGCCCGTCCGTCCAAACCAAACCCCTGCCTGCAGATCGGCTCCCGTGCCCTCCGACCCCCCGCTGAGCAAACACGTTTAGCTGTGTGCTGAAGTTACTGTGACCAACAGCGAAAAAACTTGTCGTCATGTTGTTGTTTTGTTATATTTCCCTACGACGCCCAATGATTTTTTGCTCTTTGTATTGACTTGACAATGTAATCTATTGGTGTTGACTAAAATGCCCTGGTAGCTTGTGGATTGCTAAAGTGGTCAGATAAATGTACTGTATAGCTGTACAAAGAGTGATAAAAGATGTTTTGAACCTTTTCTTTTTCTGTGGGTACAGCACTGTTAAAAAAATCAAAGTGGTTTTAGCCCTTGCCTGTTTTAACTTATCATTTTGTGATGGTCTGTATAACTTCTATTGTTATTTATATTATTTGAGTTGTTGCCTCTCCTGCACTGGTAAGAGACTGTAGCTCTGTGCAGGGGTTCGTACTGTAAACCTGTGTGAAGCTTTGTATTTTCCCTCTCTGGTTTTGGACTCAGTGAAAGTGTGATGTTTACATGTACAGTTTTTGAGAATATTTTGCGTTTTTTGTTTGTTTTTTGCATCTTATTCTTTCCCCCCCTCTCGCCCGCTCCTCTCATCTATCCTCCCCTCGCCCTGATCTGTGTTCATTCGCTTAGAGAGTTTTTGCTTTCTGTTGTTTCACTGCATCGTGACCTCTCCGACGACTCGGTCACGCGGTCAGAGTGAGCCGTGCACGACGGCGCTGTGGTGGCTTCCAGCATTTAAAATGGTAATATTTAAGAGAAAAAAAAAACACAAGGGGGAGCTTCACAACTTCTCAAAGTGGACCAGCAAAGATTTATAAAGGATTAAGATGACTTTAACAGTTTTAAACCCTGTGGTGGCCTAAACAGTGAGCAGAGAACGGTGGGATGTCGGTACATTTATTATTCTACTATAAGTGCTCGTATTGACTTAGTATCCTGGCGTGTTGTCGGGGAAAACTCCTCGTCCTTAA